GGGAGAGAGGAGCATCCGTTGCGGTTGGAGAAGAGGCGGGGCTACTTTCACGTTTTGCATCTCACTTAAACCTCGTAAACATATGGAAAAAGATATCATCATCTAGGGTCATGAGGTTCTTTAGTCTACGTATCTACATGAGACACGCTCCTGACAAAGTGGTAGCAGTCTACGAGTTATATCAAAAAGGCGGTGCTGACAAGGTGACGAAGAATCTCTCTGATAGCCGTGCGTATCGCAAGTGGTCGAGATATTTGAACGACGCCTTTTCAGACAATTTCAAGAGAACGTCCATGGTTGAACACGGACAGGAAATGCTAATCAACTCCACTCTGACTACTCAGGTTGTCAGACGTGAATTACCCTTAAGCAATTACTTTGAAGACGCGCTCATAGAGTTTCTCGCCAACGCTAATGGTGTTCAAAAAGAATTTGCTGATCGTCTTGACGACGCACTGTTCAAATATTGTAAATATTTGCAGAAGGTAGATGGTAGCCCAAAGGGTCTTTATTTGAAAAACTTTAAGGGCATTGGTGGGCGAATAGAAGGTTTACCCATCTTCGAAACGACCACCAACAACGCGAAGGATTTGGTTGACGATGATACTGTTCATCCAATGTTGTCATCTTAACTGAACGGGAGAAGAGAGCCCCATATCTACTTGAGAGACGCCTATGAAAAAAGCAAGCGGCTCTTATACTACTAAAGAATGCCCACGTTGACAAGGTAAAGAGGGATCTCTTCACTAGCCATGACTTCCAAACTTGGTCAAAAATTATTGCGGACGCCTCTCCAGATGACCCAAGACTGGTGGCCGGCATCATGGTGAACATAATGTGGAGAATTGGTCGCAGTAGACTGGTTGACGCCATTTCGACTGCTCAGGTTGTCAACGGCAAATTAGCTTTTGGTGATCACTTTAAAGACGCGTTGTTGGCTGATGTCGCCTATCGTAAAAATATTTATCGAGATAAGATTTCTGCTGAAAGAGTTAAAGATTCGTTATTTCGACTCAGTGAGAAT